ATGCATAAAGTAGCTACTACTTTGATTCAACAAAAAGTGAGATTTATTCTACTGGATCAATAGTCTGACGTGTTTTGGGTAGTGATGATGTGTGTATGATGTGTTGTCGATTATTTGTGGTCACCATGTACGATAGTCTGATGATATTCTTGAGATGAGCTCAAGTAAGGATTATTATATTAAACCCTACAGGTGGATTAAGTTCCAATATAATAATAACACTTTGAGTGGTACTAGTCTCGACACAAGATGTCAATTAATTATATTATCAGTAATTAATTAATCGATGGACATTACATCTTGAACACTGGGAGATGAACAAGTAATTATTATTGGAACCTCAGATTGTAATTTGGAAGCCAAATGGAGGAGATCAACGGTTTTTTTTACTGGATTGAAGAACCGCTCATGTATGAGCATAGTGGGCTTGACCCACACTTAGACCCATACTTGGTAAGCCCATATTTGACACCTCTTTAAAGTCCCTATTGTGGACTATAAATACACACTTCCCCTTATGTTGAAAATCATAATTGTGAGATATCTTTTTTCAGTAGCCCACCAAGACAAACAAAAGGTGTAAGGTCATACAATAGAAGTCCTTAGGTAAACCTGAGACTCCCAATCTCGACGTCTGTTGACCGCCGCCGACCAACCGCGACGCGCCGAACCCCTCGGCGATTGTGATCCACGCACCACTTCGACCGTCGATCTGACCCCGACCACAAGACGTCAAAGATTACTATTCAAATTTTAGCAATAACTATTTATGATTATGTTATCTTTGCCCAATGTCTATCAATATTAGCAATATATGAGTAGATGACAATCTGTAAATGAGTGATTTTTGTTGTAGAAACCTGTATTTATTCATGGAAACTCTATCGTGAATTTCTTCTAGAGCGAAATTAAATATTAGTAGTTGGGATAAAAATAAGGGTAAATAATTTTTCCAACCTGTACTATACGTACTTTATGGATTTTCAACCTAAAGTATTTTTTGTTGTAAAATGCAACCTGAACTACATATACAGTCATTATTTGCACGCTCGACCACATCTTGACCATAAACGTGTCCTTTTTTACAGATGATCGGACGGTCAAAAAGTAGTCGAGCGTGCAAATAATTGTATATATGTAGCACAGGTTGCATTTTACAACAAAAAATACTTTAGGTTGAAAATCCCAAAAGGACGTATACTACAGGTTGGAAAAAATTATTTACCCTAATAACGATGTAAGTTCAATTCGTCTACAATAGATTGTATGTTAATAGAAGTGTTTCGAAACTTTTAATAAATGATACTTTTATTTTACTTTTCTATATAATAAAGTACTTATTGTAAAGATTTTACTATTTATTTAGATTATATTTCAACTAGAGCAGCTTGAGCGAACTCTCGCCCCTTTCTCTCGCCATTCCAATTCTTCTCGCTCGCCGTTCCAATCTCGCCGTTTTGAGCCTCCTTTAGCAGTCGACCGGGTTCGCCGGTAGATGGCTCTCCAGCGGTGCACCCAATTTTGGGCTGAGGTGCTCGGATCCGGTGTCTCAAGCCAAAGGAGCAGGCTAGGGTTTCATCTCGGTTCTGCGCGATGGACGTCGGCTGGCCTGCGGCGGTGGGGTACGGTGAGAGTGTCTTCAGTCCTTGGATGGGGCTTGGCTGCTCATCCCAACTCAGGTAAGGGCGATTTCTCTTTTTTCTGGCCGGTCCTGGTGGTCGTTGGTCTTAACTCTTCTGTTCACGCCGGTTTCGGCGATGTGGGGCGGTTGGGGCGGGATTCGGACCTCTTGTGCCGGGTTGGGAAGAGATGGTCGCTTTTTCGAGTTGTGATTGTGCGGCTGGGCCTGGAAGCCATTCGAACCCTTCCTCCCTTTTGCTCTTTCTGAGTCTGAGGGAGGCTGACCGTTGTCCGGAATTGACTAGTGGTGTTAGGCAATTTCAGGATGGTGATGGACTAGGCTAGTGGTGTTAGTCGGTTGGGGGTCGACTGTGGTTTTTTGCGGTTGGAGAGCGGGTCGGTTTTTTTTGGACTGTTTTGAGGCTCGGGTCTTCGTCTTTGCTAGGCATTAGGCAGTGGCGGGTCGAGTTCCTATGCTTTGGATCTTCCTTTGAAGTCGGCTTTGTCTGCTGTACAATCTCGGATGTCTTTGCTGAAGGAGGGCTGTGTTTTAATTCGTAGTTGTTTTGTTTATTTTGTCGTTATTGTTATGTGTTTATGTCTGTGTCTGTGTTTGTTCTTGTGTTCTAGGTTTGGGCTGTTGGCCCCAGTGCGCCCCCGAGCGTCATCTTATTATCCTGTTGGGATCAGACGCTTGGGTATTATCCTGGTGGGATCTTTTTCAGTTGTTTTTTGTTTTGTTGGTGTAGTTGGTTTTAGAGTAGTTGCGAGTGTTGTTTTCTAGCTTTGCTAGTGCCGGGATTCTAGGCGGTCTTCTGACCTGTCCTCCCAGTTTTATTCAGTTGTTGGCTGTCTGTATTCAGCTGTTGGTTGTTTGTATTCAGCTGGTGGCTGTCTGTATTCAGCTGTTGGTTGTTTGTATTCAGCTGGTGGCTGTATCCTTTGCACTTTTGTGCGCATTTATATAATATCTCTATCGTTTTGGCAAAAAAAAAAAAATATTTCAACGGTAAACGTTTCAACATCAATTCGTGTAGCGTGCACGCAGAATGGGCGATGAATTCAAAGCAAGTAAACATGAACCTTTCAGATGAACTTTTCTGATCCCATAAGCATCAAAATTTGTTGACAAATGAAGAAGCGATTTTTAATTGATATAACTTTATTGATGGATTAATATTGGATACACTGGTATAATCCAGTTAAGTGTGTGCGGAATAACAAAATTTTGAAGATAGTAGACATATTGTTGTGAAACGACGACAATACGAATTAATGACGAGAAAGTAAACAACACAAGATTTACGTGGTTCGGCAATATGCCTACGTCCACGGCGGAGCGATCTCTTTATTATTCACGATAATCCCAAATACATCAATACACCATGTATCTATATTATAACCCTACAAGGTATAAATTTACTTAAATACCCCGTACCGTACCGCGGGGGCTCCGCCCCGCACCCCCGGCCCAACTAATCGACCCAGTCCGGGCTCGTTCCACTCGCTCCGCTACCCTCGCTCCACTCGGACGCTCCGCTCCCTCGCTACGCTCGCTCCACTCGCAGGCATCAGCCTGTTTCCTTCCTTTGTCAATATATGAGCCATACCAACACATATAATGTATAATAGTAATTAATTGAAGGGCATGACTTCTTCATAATATTACATGAATATGTCTTGAAAGCAATAGCACCGTTGGGTGGTGATATATATCATCATCAGGTGGCAATGACAGTGATCTTCGTTCCGTTCTTGCATTTCTCTTGATATCCGGCTTCCCACTGGTCCTAATTCCAAAATTATCATATCCACCGGTGGCGAAGGTATTACCCGGTAACTTTATCGTCGTGCATGCCGCATAGTTAATTTCATCCACCTTTCACACATTGTGGAGCTGGAGGACATTATATTGGAACACTGTATTATTTATTAATAAATTTAACTAACGTCAATATCCATTTCACTCAACCTTAATTATATATATCTTGTATAAAAAACAAATTAGGGGAGATATTCAAAGATCCAATATGCAGTGGTTAATTAATTATGATTCTCACCAACAGAGTCGTTCACAGCCACTTGCAAATCTTTAAACCCACCGGCTGGTACAGCATCCCAAGGCACAATATGAGATTGCGGATCCCGGGATCGAGCCACATTTGCCATCACCATCATCATCACCAAGGTCGTGGCGGCGGCCGCAACACCACCTCTTTCCCCACCCATCTATTATTAATTAATTGTTTATTACTAAAGATCCTCTTACGCAACCAACACAACAATTAATTATAGAGGTGTTTTGTTTTTGGCCTGAATGATGAATGAAATTGCAGATTTTATAGGCGACTGATGAGGGCATGCGGGCGTGGGACCCACCTATAACATCTATAAAAATTAGTAGAGTTAAATAAAAAATATATATAATTCAATTAATATTAATTGTTTTAAGCTTTCAAATCATCGAAAAAAATTTGTATTATTATTATTTATACTTAAAATAACACACCTCTCAGTTAAAGATGATCAAATTCAACAACATGGTCCAATCTACTCATATTATATTTTACTATTTTTTTTTTCTAGTTCATATTATACAATAAACTTAGTAGATAAATTTATTTTATTGAGAAATAACTTTATTATCACCAAAGATATAAATAGATAGATTAATTTTTAATATAACTGTAAATATAGCTATTTACTTATATATATGCAATATTTATGTCAAATTAAAGTTCATCAAAATGTGGTTAATTTGATATATCGTACATAAAAAACTAATATTGTCTCTTATTATTTTTATTGATCATTAATCAAATAAATGACGTTTTGGATCTTTTATACATATTTTTCTATTGTTACCGTCAGTTAATTATTACACTACACGTGTTGGAAGAAAAGTTGTGGAAGACGATGAATTTTCCCTTTCAAAAGAACATAAAAAAAGGGTTAATTGCTAGAAAAACAACAACCTTTGGTGAAATTGCACATAAAACTCAACTTTTTCAGTTTTGCACCAAAATTCTAACCTTTTATAAGTATTGCAAAATCGTCTCAAAGTTGACTTCCGGCCAAGGTGTGCTGACATGGCAGATCGAAAAAGTGACGTGGCCATCAAATTCAATGGTTTGTGCCACATCATCACACATGTCCTCCATTCACAATCATTCTTCTTATCTGTTCCTATCGTTTCCAAAGAAAATCCCAAAACCCTCGACAAACCTAACTAGAGAAAAACTCAGATCCACTCCACTCCCAAAATTCTCCGCCATGAACCTTCTAGCCAGAGCAAAAATGTCGTCGCATCTGATATCTTCTTCCAACTCTCCGGTAACGCGCCTCCTCAATCTGCGCCCCCAAACCGCCGCCCTCCAACAATGCGAGCCCTGCTCCACCAAAACTACGACGCGCAGCGTCAGCCAGAAACCGGCCAACAATGGCAGAAAAACGAGAAGACAAAATTAGAGCTGCGAGCGAGTATGGCGACGGGGTTTCCTAGTTCAGGGGCTCAATTATCGGAAAAGGGGGTTTTGGCACTGTCTATTAGCCACGCTCAAAAACCCCAATTCCAAGTACAGCTCCTTCCCCCCATTAATGGCGGTCAAATAGGCCGAGGTCTCCCTTTCCGGCTCGATTCAGAAGAAGAGGGAAATCCTCGGAAATCTCGTCGGATGCCCCGACATAATCAGGTGCTTCGACGAGGAGACGACTGTGGGCGCCAACGGCGCCATCGTTTACAACCTACTGCTGGAGTATGGCGCCGCCGGAACCCTAGCCGGCAGGATCAGAGAATCCAATGGCGGCAGAGGAAGGCTGTGAAACTCGAAAATGGGGAAGAAGAAAGGAATTTTTTTTAATATATTGGTGGTGGGTGACGTGGACGGCTGATGATGTGGAAAATACATTTTTTTTTAGTCTGATGACACGGCACAAACCTTTGAATTTGATGGCCACGTCACTTTTCCGATCGGCCATGTCAGCACACCTTTGCCGAAAGTCAACTTTGAGACGATTTTGCAATATTTATAAAAGGTTAGAATTTTGGTGCAAAACTGAAAAAGTTGAATTTTATGTAAAATTTAACCAAATGTTGTGGTTTTTCTAGCAATTAACCCTAAAAAAAGCTGAAAAGATAAAAAAAAAATAATTAATGTTAATTTGCTTTAAATAAGACTAATATTGGCAAGAAAAAGTTTCTTAATTTATGTGTTGAAGCACAGACGACATTTAAATTTATAATTTAAGTTAGTTACTTAGTTTGTAACTATAAAAGTTTCCAGACATGATATAAGTACAAATATATATGCACAATTCAAAAAAAAAAATAACAAATATATTAATTATGTAACATCATTAATTGATACATAAGAGCATCTCCAACGGAAATTGTATATTCCAACGAAAATTTCTACGGTCAAAAACCGTTGGAAATATCGCCGTTGGATTCATCAAATTTCATCTAAAATTCCAATAAAAAATACATTCCAACGGAATATTTTCGTTGGAATTTTTCAACGAAAGCTATACCATTGGAATATTCGTTGAAATTTCCATTGGAATATATTACCATAGGATTTTCTATTGGAAAATAGCAATTTTTTTGTATTGTATATATTATAAATTTATAATTAAGAAAAGGTCCGTTGGCAGGTAATCGAAAATTACACAGTAAATTCTTGTGCAAATCCACCCACAATCGGTCAGTTGAATTTACAACAGTCAAATTCCACAAGGATCTTGGACTTTGAAGATACTCTTTCGGACAAGAACAAACACAAACTAACTACTAAAAATAAGAGAAAGCAAGAGAAAAATGGAAATTAAGCAAATAGTACAAAAATCAAGAGAAACACTAAAACAAGAGACAACTCATAAGTAATTAACTTAGCATCCTACTTGCCTTCCCCAACAACAGCGCCATTTGTTTAGTTGTTTTTAGTCGAGTACGATTGAAAGATCGCCTTGGGTCGTCTTCTCGAAGGAAGGTGATTCGGAGCTTTGTTCACGTATTAGTTGTTAAAAGCACAAAAAGAGAAAATAAAGTCCTAAACATACTAAGCACGATAATTTGAACTCAGAAATTCACTTAGACAAGCAATAAAAATAAAAAGAACCAAACTTTCCTTCATTCAACTAACTTTACACCATATTTACCTTGAAAAACTTCATAAGAAAAAACGGAGCAAAAATGGAATAATGAACTTTAAAAACTAAGTACTCACTCTCCTATTGCATGCTCGTAGAGAATCGAAGAAAAAAGCTCGGGACTTGAATAAAAATAAAGTCGCCGGAAACTCATCTGAAAATATGAGTCATAGAGCTCCCAACACAAAGATAGAGAGAAAAATAAGAAAAACACTTATTCCCAAAATGGAAAACTAAGAAAATGAAAGCTTGGTTCCCAAAATACAATGGAACAAATGTATTTGTACCCAAACCTAAAATACACACATTTAATGAAACACTCGAGGAAAAATGGATTTCGCGGGCAAATTGGCAGGAGTCGCGAGTGTTGATGATTGAGTGCTGAGGAACTCGCGGGCAGATGAAAACTCGTGACCTAGGTGAGCCGGTTCGCGGGCGCGAATGCACTAGATGTAGGTAGTGGGAAGCACGGGGAACGCAGGCAGGTAGGGTCTTGGGCGCGGATGCTGGACTACTCACGAGGCCAGCGAAAGTTTTCGTGGCCGCAGAGCTGCGGTGGATAGGTCACTCGCACGTGGGGGCACGTTGGAAAGACACTTGCGAGGCCAGTGAATTCTTCCGTGGGCACAAGTTGTTGGCGCGCTTGTGAGAATTTGCGATCTCGCGAGTTGCTTCGCGGGCGCGAGACACTTGGCGGTCAATAGATGTGAACGACTTGGACTTCTCCTTGTCTTCTCACGGGTTTAAGACAGCTCGGACGTAAATCCTTTCCAAACTCGAGCTTATAACGAACTATGCGGTGAAACCCCTTTTCGACACAAGGATTTTGTACTAAAAATCAAAAGAATTCTAACACAAGAAGATGAAAAAAAGTTCTGAATTTTATTGATCAAAATGCTGAATAAAATTGTTCCCTACACATAGGTATTTAAAGAGAATAACTAAGTCTAGTCATAACAGAAATAAGCCTCTAATTCTAAGGAAATTAAATAACTAGAATCCTAAATATATCCAAACTAATGCACTCCTAAACAATCTAGGAATAATAATAAAGATGAGGAAAAATAAGCCTTTAAACTTCTAGAAAAAAATCCTCAACATGGCCTCCAAGTAGCCCTACCCACGCCTAGACCAGAGCTGTTCCCAGCAGACCCGTGCTCGCGCATGATCTCTGCGCGCGCGACATTCTCGGGTCGCGCCTGTGCGCGCCCTTCCTCGCGCGTGTGCTAGCGCTCGCATGCACACAATTTCTCCGCGGCTGGAAGTGCGCGCACCTGTCTGCGCGTGGTCTCGGGCGCTACTAGGCGCCTGCGCGCGACGTCTGAGCGCGCGTTGTGCACCCGACTCGCGCACCTTTCATTTTTCACGAGCCACCTAATGCCTTAGAAATCTCCACCAGTTTTTATTTCTTCGATGTGCATCTTGAAACCTCCATGGCGCGTCCATTTGAGGCGTGGTCTTGTTCGTGCCCAAGCGGCTTTCCATGGCCATTTTGGTTGTCGAGAGGCCTTCCTTATGCATGCTTGTCATGCCCGGTCATTGGTATTTGTGGGTGCGAGACCCACATTCTCATCACCGCGCATGCACTCGCTAGCGAGTTGTGCCTCGCGACCCCGCGAGCACGCTACCCTGGCGCCAGGTAGACCCGCACCCGCTAGCGACCTCCATCCCGTGACCCTGTGACAGCGTGCACCCCAGCAACTCGCCAGCGAGCTGCCACTCGCGGCCCAGTGAGCCCATCCTGGGCCAGCCCCATGCACACTCGCTACGAAACCCGTTTCGAGACCCGACGAACTGCAAAATTTATTAAATGTGTGTGTTGTTAGTGTATGTTTGTGGTGTAGCTATAAATAGACATTGTGCTTTGTATTTTTGGACACCATCCTCATTACCCAAATTTTTTAGTTTGGAAATTGGCTCTTTTTTTCTCTTTTATTTTATGTTTTGGTTTGGAGGTCCTAAACTTAACATTTTTCGGTGACTTTTTCGGCGATTTTCCGACGACCTTATTTTTATCCAAAATTCAATCTTTACGCATTATTTTCGTCCGAGCTTGGGACAGGTGGGTAAGTACCTTGATTCAGCTTATCACTTCGAGTTTGTCTTTTGGCCAGAATTTTGTGTTGATGCTCGATTTAGGACTTTGTTTTATTTTTCTTGCGATCTTGAGTGTTAGGAGTAAAATTTGTGCCTATCTTGTTATAAAAGTCTCAACTTTGTTAAAGCGTGACTATTTAGTTAAGAAGGCTCGGTTTATCCAACTAGGATCTTATGGCTAACATTTTCCTCTTCTTTTATTTTCATTTTCGTCAAGTCAAGGAGACTCCGGTCCACCAAAGTCCCAATCTTTTCTATTAAAATCTCATCTTTCCTTAACTAATTTCATTTTCTTAGCTTAATGTAGTTCAAATCAACCCACAATCAAGAGAGTAGCATGTTTAGGACCTTATTTTCAGTTTTGTGAATTGACGACTAAATAGTGAAAAAAGCTCCGAACAACCTTCCTTCGAGAAGATGACCCGAGGTCGATCGTACTCGGCTAAAAACTACAAATAACGTACAGTTCGTTGCCTAGGCATGTGCATGCGGGCATTAGGCTGCTGCGGGCGCGACAAGTGCCGAGACGCGGCAAGACTCGAGACCAATGGCTGCTAAACCGGGCCGACTGACCAGGAACTCTCCGGTCACTTTTTTTGTGATTTCCGGCAACTTTCCGGGTATTCTTTCGGCGATTCCCCGAAACGCAAATTTCCTACAAAATAAAAGATAAAAAGATAAATAAAAAGCACAAGACACTAAAACACACGAAAACACATAAATGAGCAAAAAATGACGACCACGAAAAACCTATAATAAAATAAAACGAACACAAATAAAATACTTAAAAAACACATAAAATAACCACAAAAACATACAGAACAAGTTGTGTTGGGATCTATGAGGATCTCATTATGTACAAGTCACGAATTCAATAGCAAACGTAAACCTATGCGTAGCGGATCTAAAGGTTTGACGTAGAAAACTTACAGCTTAAAACTTTCTGAATCTGTCGGATTCAGGATGACCGGGAACAACACACGAACACGTCGGGAACACGAACAGATCGCCGGGAGTAGCTGGTCGTGTCGCAGGGTTGTTTCGCGTGTGGTGGAGGGCTCGCGTCGAACAGTCGTCACGGGTTGCCGGCGGTCGTGTCGCGATCCGCGGCTGTCTGTCGGCTCCGGCTGGCAGCGATCCGTCAGTTGGTCGGCGGTCCTCGGCTTCAGGTCGTGGATCGTTAACTTCTGTGGAAGATCACCGGTTCTCGATTACCTATGGATCTTCTACTGTATTACTCAAACACCTTCTTCAACTTGTACTAGTGGAGCAACAAGAAGAATATAAAGCTCGAATGAGAACTGAGAGAGAGATGAGAGGCGCGGCGTGCATATCTGTATTTGTGACAGATTGATATCATCTCATGTGCTTAATGATGTATATATAGAGCTACAGTAGGGACCCTTAAGAGATTAAGAATAGGGATCCTTAATTAACTAGGCTAACTGTGGGCCAAAACCACTTTTCTATTTAATTAAATAATAATATGGGCCACCAACATAATATTATTACACTCCCTTATCCTAGCTCAAATTACATTTGAGACTCTAATTATAATTACTCGATTACCTCCCCAC